CGAAGAGCACGCGCAGCTAACAACGCCATGGCACGCGCTAGAACCCAAGCGCGCGCGAAGTGCGCGCGGTTTTTTGTGATATAAATAAATACCGCCCCCCCGGGGCCCGGTCCCACACCTCCCCGCCACATCTCGGGGACGCTCCCGCTACGGCTCGCCGAGCCTTTCGGGGGAGCCTCCACAGCGTCCCAGGAGGGCCCAAGACGCCCCCCAGAAGCCCCCAGAATTTTAAAGAATGATCCAAGACGCTCCCGAGCAGCCCAAGTCAGCCTTCCAACGGCCCTCGAGGCTCCCAGGAGGCCTCGAAGAGACCCCAAGAGAGGTCCGAGAGGCGTCCTGGGGCGGCCCGAAGAGGCCAAAGTCGTAGATGTTCCTTGTTTTTTCAATGTTTTTGGCTTCTCGCGTTTTCGAGCTTCCAATGGTCCAAGAGCGCCGAAGAGCCTCCCAAGACGGCACCAAGACCACCCAAGAGACCCTCAGGACGGCCCCAAGACGGGCCAAGAAGGCTCCAAGACCTGCCGAAGAGGCGCCCAGCACAGCCCCAGACCACCCCAGACAAGGCCCAAGATGGGCCCAAGAGCGGGAGCAGGAGGCTTCCAGAGACCTCCGAGAGGCCTCCGGGACCACCCAGAGGCCCCCAACACTCCCCCGATCCTTAAGAGGCTCAAAAGAGACCTGGACGAGGCTCCAAGAACAGCCCAAGAGGGCTGCGAGAGCCGTCCCGAGAGAGCCCAAAGAGGGTGAAACCGTTGAGTTTCTATGGTTTTTCTAATGTGTTTCGCCTTCTCACGTTTTCCCGCTTCGAATCCTCGAAGATCGAGGATGTTGACAAAAAAAACGGAATGCCCAGAATTTATTTTTCCAATGTGGGACTCCTACTCGGGGGTCCCACACATCCCCTGACATTTGGCCGGTATCGCGCCTCCCGGCTTCCCGGGGGGAGACCCCAAGACTCCGAAGGACAGCCCATGACGACCTCAAGGAGCCCCCAGAACGTAAAGGACGGCCCAACACGCTCCCGCGCAGCCCCAGACACACCTTTCCAGCGGCACTCCAGGCCTTCAAGAGGCCTCCAGAAGCTCCAAGGGGTCCAGAAGATCCCACACCCCTGAAGGGCCCGGCTAACAAAACCCGCGAGGCACAAACAAAAGACAGCGCCGAACAGCGCCGAGGAATTGGAAAAGCATGGGGATCTCACAATTATTTTTTTTGTTCAAGTTTCGCCCCCGGTCTACTCTTGCACAACAGACCACAATCCAGACCCCCCCCCTCACCTCTCAAACAAGAACCCATGAAGCCTTTGAGGGCCCCAGATCGTTGAATATCTTAAGAAAATTAACAATTTCTGCGTTTCCGCATTTCCCCTTCTATACGATTCCGAGGCTTGAGCAGGGCCTCTCAGGGAGTCCTTGGACGCAGAAAAAACAACCAAAACGAGATTACATTAGTTAGCCTATCAAGCCTAGCTAGAACTTGAGCGCGCGCGAAGCGCGCGCGATGGTTCTAGTATTATATAGACATGATCACATTCATATATATATATATATACATACATGTATACATGTATACATGTATATATACATGTATATGCTAGGATGTGTCACTACGTACTCACAAGTGACAGTTGCACAGGACATTTCTCCCTCATACTCCTTCTTCCTCCAGCTCCTCCCTCATTCTCGCTCTCCGCCTCCTTCCACATCGGGGTTGTTTACATGAGTTTTCTTCCAAGAGGTGGAAGGCGTTGTTTCAAATTGTCCTGGGACGATGACGGAGCCGTCTTGAGAATATCTTGGGCTGTCGTCCGGGTCCCGCCCTCTTCCCCCTCGTCTTCTTCTTCCCCCAAGACCACGAAGGCTTGTCGAATTAACAACGTTTTTTTTTTTGTCTGGCGAGTGCCCACGCACAGTGTATCTTTTCACGACGTATTCACAACAGTTGCACAGAACGCGTCTCCCTCCTCCTCCTGCTCCCTCCAGCGCCCCCCTCATTCTCGCCCTCTGCCCCCTCCTTCGAAGTTGTTTACCTGATTTCTCGTTCAGGAGGCAGAATTTGTTTTTTTTTTTTCAATTTGTCTTGGGACGGTCTCGGGGCCGTCTTGAGACCGTCTTGGGCTGTCGTTAGGGCCCCGCCCTCGTCCCCCTCGCCCCCCTCTTCCACAGGAGCACGAAGAGTTGCCAAATTTGTCGTATTTTTCTGGCGAGCGCCCACGCCAAGGCCTCGGAGAGTTCCAATTCATACCCTTCTCCTCGACCAAAAGCGTGCGGAAGCAGCACGAGTCACAGGTCTGACACGTCAGCAAAAACGAAGGTTTTGCATCCTTGCCTTCCGATCTCACCTTGCCTGCGATCGTTCGTTGCTTCTGCTTCCCGCATGCGGTGTGATGAAGGTCCCCAGTCTCCGATGCATTGAATTTCTCAATCGTGGATTCTGCCATTTGTTTCGGACCGGGGGACAATCAGAACAGTGTCCCATGATGAACCTATTGCCTCAGGGATGGGGTCTAGTGCTCTTGATCCCAACGGAGTGAGAACAGTACGATACCGGAGGTCTCGTCTGGGCAGGGTCATGCAGGCTCATAACAAGGATTATCGCCTCAGAGCGTTGTCGAGCACTTTGGAATGGCCGTGGTACCCGGCCCGACACATATTCCAAAACCGGATGCTCTCAGAGATCCCAGGCTATCCCAACCCAAGATGTCTGAATCTTGCGTTCGCCATCTTGCCATCGTCATGTTGCCACGCCTTAGAGGAGGGAGGGAGGGAGGGAGGAGGAAGAGGAGGAGGTGGAGGCGGAGGAGGAGGAGAAGGAGGAGAAGGAGGTGTATGATTTTGATCAGGAGGAGCACGAGGAGGATAATGCAGCCAGCCCCAGTGGTTGATTCAGATATGGATGGCTACTGGATCGTACTTTCCGCGTCGCGTGCATGCGTTGCTGGAAGCATGTGCAGTGAGCACGGTGCCGATCTGCCGGGGAGTGTTTTCATACGCAGATGTCGCAATTCCCGGAGTATTCGACCGATTGCAGACATTAGCTCTGGCAATTGTGCGACGCATAAGCTACACGCGACTTCTGGAGCAACAGGTATTCTTGACGTTTTACGTTCTCCCAGCAGGCGACTGGCAAATTTATCGGGGAAGTGTGGGAAGACGCAGTGGAAAACAACGAGGGGGGCAGCCGTCAAACCGAAGATCCGAATCCGCTCGAGCTGGCCCGGTGCAGCGAAGACCCATGCCGAGAAGCACCCTGCTCTGCCTCCAGGGTGCACCGGGGTTTCTCGAGCTTCGATGGTTCTGCCATAGGAAGCGTGACGTTCACACACCAAGCATCAATTGACGTCCTGGGGTCTCAGGGTTGGGTTTCCTGTGGAGTGGTTCTTGTGGTCGAGCTCCTACTGTAGTCAATCATAGATGCCTTCGCGGATCTTCTGACATGGGAGCTGCTTGTTGACAGCTTATTTGGGTCATCTTTGGGCTAGTTTGGAGGCCCTCTTGAGGCCCTCTTGGAGGTCCTGAGGGGCCTCTTGTGGCCATCTTGGAGACCATCGATTTCAAAAGAGGGTCTTGTGACTTAGCATCCCCTCGTCGGAGGCCGACCAATGGCCTCCTGGGGCCCTCTTAGAGCGCTCTTGGGGCCATCTTGGGTCTCTTGTGGGCCCCTCGTGGGGCTCTCTCGGGCCATCCCGGAGCAATCTCCAGGCAGGAAGAGCACGCCGGAAGCGACAAGGCGAGAAGACAAACAGCATTGCTTTCCCTTTGGTGCTGGCAGGATTGTGGCGTCCTCGGCCCTACTTTGGGCAGTCTTGGGGCCTCTTGGAGGCATGCTGGAGGTTATCTGAAACCACATGTGGCTATCTTGTGCGATCTCGGAGGCCATCTTGTGACATCTTGGGCCCTCGTGTGGCTATATTGAGCCATCTTGGACGCTTCAACGCCTCGCGACCCACCCATCCTCCAGACTTTGGGAGAGAGGGTTGGTTGAGAGGTAAACCTCCCGAAGGGGAAGGAGGATGTTGGAATGACAAACTTGCTGAACCACCTGCGCCCTATAGGGCTGGTGGGCGGTGATTCTTGGGTAAATCGTTCTAGTGTTGAATGTTGGTAAACCTCCTTTCGTCTCACTTGCTCCCTGCGCGTCCTCTTGCTTTCCTCGTCCTTCCCGGAAGCGGCAACTGACCGCCCCGCCGATCTTGGTTTCGATCCAGCCAGGATGGGTGGGGTGGTCAGTTGACGCTCCCCGATGTTCCTTCGATTCGGGTCGGACGAAAAGGGTGATAGGGAAATCAAGCAGTGGCGAAGCGTCCTGCTTCGCCTATAGGCCCCCTAAATAATGTTCTAAGAAGCTTTTGTGATATGCACGAAATGTTCTTGTTCTTAGAACATTTCTGGCTGGGACCGTCTTGTTTTAACAACGTAGGGTTCATGTTCTCAGAGCATTGTGCTGGTTCTTAGAACATGTTTTGGTTCTAAAAACATGTCGTGGTAGTCCTATAGGAATACCGGGACGGTCGGCCCCTGCTCAGGGAAAGAGGGACATGTACGAAGTCTGCTGCATGCAGCCGGTTTCGGCCCCGCCGCGGGGTCCTGGATACATGGGCGCCTCCGGTGCCGGAGGCAGCGGCAGAAGCATATGCGCGAATGGATTCGTGAATGCCCCCTTTATGATATCCCTTCCGTTCGTCCGCCCTGGTCCTCTCCTCCCCCTGTTCTGGCCACGCGCAGAGGGGGGTAGGGGGAGGGGGGAAGGCTTCTTAGAAGCACCCCTGCTTCTTAGAAGGTGCGGGCCTTCTTTGTAGATGTAAGGCCGGCGCCTTCTAAGAAGCAGCCTCCTTCTAAGAAGCCTTCCCCCCTCCCCCAACCCCCTTGTGCGCGCCGCCAACTGTTGTCGATCCTCGAGGTCTGGGTAAGTTGGCCACCTGGCCTCAAGGTGCCTTTCAGCGTACGCGCACGCGCACGCGCACGCCCCTCTGGGTGGAGCCGGCGCGCACGCGGTTCGGGCCGATGGCGCGCCGCCCCAGCAGCCTCCTCGCGCGAGCCGGAGCTTCCGACGGCGACGGCGACGAGGACGACGAGGACGACGACGACGAGGACGACGTCGACGACGACGACGACGACGACGACGACGACGACGGGTGTCAGTCCTTCCAGGGCGGTTCTGGGCCCAGACCTCAAAACATTTTTCAGGAGGGGAAAAAACACACAGACACAATTCATCGTCGGTTCCCAGAAAAATGTGGGAAAAGATGGGAAGTGGGGGGGAAGACAGAAGCCCAGAAGATCTGGGAAAATATGGGGAATCTTTTCATTGGTGTGTATTTCTTTGTGTGTGTCCCAGGGCCCCTTCAACACTGGCCAAGAGCAATTCGGCGGAGCCTCCCCTACGTAGTCGGCCTCTGTGGGGCCTCCCCGTGCGCCAGGGCCGCGAGCCAGGCTGCGCGGGAGGAGACGCAGGCCTTGGGCAGTGCGCCGGGACTTCCCGGGATACCGCACTGGAGCAGCTCGGCGAAGGGCCCACTGCTCCCAGACCCCCTCGAGTCATGAAAAATCACGACGGCAGGTTTTTTGCTATTTTCGGCCTCTGGGGGCCCTTACGGGCCCTCGGGACCGTCAAACATCGATTCAGGAGGAAAAACCGGTCCCGGGGAATGGGTCCAGACCGCTGGGAATCGACGTCATGAAAAAATCATGACGTCGGGGGTCTGGGCTTGGTGAAGCTGTCGGATTGTGTGTTCCCCCAGCCGCTGCGGAAAGCTCTGCAGGAGCATTCGGGGGAGGAGGAGAGGGGAGAAGGAGGCGGAGGATCCGGAGGGGGAGGCGGAGACACCTTCGGGGCTTCCGGAGGCCCTCCCAGGGTCTCCTGCTGGCTTCCCGAGATCTCCTCTGGCTGCCGTTTGGGGTGGGGCGTCTTGGCGGCCTCTCGGGGTCCTCTTGGGCCGCCTTAGGGGTCTCGCTGTCCGTCTGCCGCCTTCTCGGGTCGTCTTTGGGAACTCGTTGCGGCTGTCTTGGAAGTATATTGGGCCGTCACGGGGTCCTCTTGGGGTCGTCGTGGGAGTTTCGTGGGCCGTTCTGAGGTTCTCTTGGGGACATCTCGGGGCCCTGTTGGGTGCTTCTGGCGCCATGTTGGGGTGCTTCCGGCGCTGGGGCCGCCGTGGGCTTTTGGATACCCCGGGTCGCGAGAGCGCCCCAATCGTTCCACTGCCAACGGGAGTGCAATGGCTTTGGCTCAGCGGCACCCCAGCATACTTATACTATGTGTGCGTCGCCCCCCAGGGGCGACGCGCGCACCGAGAAATCTCAGACGTGGCGGGCGCTTTCTGGCCACACCGCTCGGGAAGCGATACACCACAGTATGGGTATACTATCTGTTCGGGTCGGACGCGCGCCTCCAATTCGGACATATAGCACCGGTACGTCTCTGCGCGTCCCGTTGGAGGGCCTCCTGGAGCCCTCTTGGCCCTCTTGGGGCAGCATCGAGAGCCTTCTGGGCCGCCTCGAGTTGGCCAGGGCCGTCTCGGGGCCATCTCGGAGCCTCGACCGAGGCCGCTCTGGGGCCGCCTCGGGCGGGGAACTCCAGCGGCGTGCTGCCCGCCGGGGCCTCTGCCCGCTCGGCCGGCTGGAGCAGGGTTCGTTTCGATTCCTCCGATTCGATTCGATTCGATTTCGATGGATTCCGATTCCGATTCGATTCGACTTTGGACTCCGACTTGGGTTCCGACTTCTCAATGGAGGCCTACTAGCCTGCCGATTTCTGCCGATTCGACTTCTTCGGACTTGGCTGCCGATTTCTGCCGATCCGACTCATTTCGATCGCCGATCCGACTTGTCGATTCGATTCTGGGCTCTCCTGCCGGAGCGGCCGAGGCCCCGCTCCCACGAGGAAAGAAACCACACGAGCAGAAGTTTGTGGCGCTCCGCGCGGGTTTCTCGGATCCGCGACTGGGCCCCCCCGCGGCGCCCCCGGCGCCGCCCCTGGCGCGCTCCGCGCGCCAGTTTATGTGTATGCGTTTTTTGTTATTCTTCTTCTTCTTCTTCTTCTTCTCCCATTGTTTGGGCATGTTCTGGCGGGGAGGGTTCGGACGCTCGAGGGCCGGCGCGCCAGCAGCCCTGCTCTTGTATCGAGAAAGCCGCGCGCCCAGCGTGGAGGGCCCGAAGGCGGCCCGAGGGGCTCCCAGGATTGCGCGAGAGGGTCTCGAGGCGCGTCAGGCAGGTCGACACGGCCAGTCAGAGTCCCGAATCATCAGGGGTAACTCGGGTCAGGGCTAACTCGGGTTCGCTTTTCGGGATTCCGAACCCGAGTTACCCCGGACCCGAGTTACCCCGGATAGCTCGGGCGTCCAGAGCCCAAAAATCATCAGGGGTAACTCGGGTCAGGGCTAACTCGGGTTCGCTTTTCGGGATTCCGATCCCGAGTTACCCCGGACCCGAGTTACCCCGGATAGCTCGGGCGTCCAGAGCCCCAAAATCATCAGGGGTAACTCGGGTCAGGGCTAACTCGGGTTTGCTTTTCGGGAATCCGAACCCGAGTTACCCCGGACCCGAGTTACCCCGGATAGCTCGGGCGTCCAGAGCCCCAAAATCATCAGGGGTAACTCGGGTCAGGGCTAACTCGGGTTCGTTGTTCGGGAATCCAAACCCGAGTTACCCCGGACCCGAGTTACCCCGGATAATTCGGGCGCCCAAGCCAGGCGGGTTACGACTGCCAGGTAGGCTCCAACGGCCAGCTGCGTGAAAGCGGCCAATCGAGTTATACCGGCCAGGCGAGTCAGAACGGTCAGGCGGGTTTGGACGGCCAGGCGGGTCAAAATTGCCAGGCAAGCGAAAATTGCCAAGGATGTCAGCGCGGACAGGCGGGTTTGACTGGCCGCGTCGATGAACATAGCTAGTCACACGGTCTAAACAGCAATGCGATTTTTAGCGGACATTCAGGTCAAGACGGTTCGAGAGGACCCGAAGACAGCCCGAGAGTCTCCCGAGACGCCACATAATGACCCCAATATTGTCGACGGATGAAACAAGGGCGAGGGGAAGGGAGGAAGTACGAGGAGGAGACACGGACAAGCCAGCGACGTCGCGCCATCCCAGAGTAAGCTGCAAAAGAGCGGTGTCCTTCCCTGTGCCAAGTCAGCCTCGTGGCCTCTGGCCCCTCCCGCCCCCGTGCCTGGAGAGGAGGCACGAAACGGACAAGCGGGCACACCCGCGACACCGCGCCGTCCCCAAAAGTGGGCTGCGCTTTCCCTTCCTGTGCCGCGCAGGCCTCGTGGCCTCCGGCCCCTCCCGCCCCCGTTGTGCCGAAACAGAAACATGCGGAGCACAGAGGCAAGGAGTGGGAGGAGGGAAAGGAGGAGGAGGGAGGGGGAGGAGGAGGAGGAGGAGGAGGAGGAGGAGGAGGAGGAGGAGGAGGATGCCCGGGTCGTGGACCGGGGGCCTCTCCGGAGGCGCACCAGCGGCCTCTCGGGCGGCCTCTCGGGGTGGCCCACGGTGGGGGCCCGGGCCAGGAGACGCCCTGCTGTGCCTCCGGGGTGCCCCCGGGTTTTTCTTCGGGCGTCGATGGCTTTGCGGCGGAAGGCGCGACGTTCCCACACCAGGAGTCGGTCTCTTGTCAAGGGCTCCCCCGAGGGCGCGAAGTTATTCGCGCTTCGCGCTTCGCGGTCCTCGTTTCTCCTCCCCCTCCTCCTCGTCCTCCTATTCTCCCTTTGGGAGGGCGGCGCGAGAGCGCGAAGTTATTCGCGCTTCGCGCAGCGCGAAGCGCGAAGTTGGGAGCCCTAGCTTGTGGTCGGTCCCCTACGGTATTGGATGGCTCCTGGAGGCTTCTGGAGGGCTTCTTGGGCCCGGGAGCCTCTCAAAGCGGAGGGCCCGGGAAGCCAGCTCGTGTGCCCCCTCTTGGAGCCCTCTTTGGCAGTCTTGGGGGCACATCGGGCCGTTAAAGGGCCCTCTTGAGCCGTCTTTGGTTTTTCTTTGGTGCGTTCTGGGCCGTCGTGGGGCGATCTTGGAGACCTCTTGGGCCGTCTTGGAGCGTCGGAAGCCCAAGAGCAAGAGCGCTAAAACGTTACAGACACTTATGGGATATCAATGACTGTCTGTCTCTAGGGGCCCCCCTGAGCGTCCTCCCAAGGTTCTCTTGGGGCGAGAGCCCCTGGGACCGTCTTGAGACCATCTTGGGCGGTCTCGGGGCGATGTGAGGCCAGCTCGGGGCCCTCCTGGGCCGTCCTGAGGCCCTCTCGTGACCCTCCCGGCCTCTGGCCTCGGGGCCGGTCGCACGGGGAATGCCAGCCGCGCCCAGGCATTTCCCGAGCACCTGGGCGCCGGGGCCCCTAGACAGTTGGGGCCCTGAAGAAGGAACCCTTTTCGTTGGGGAGGGGCTCCGCGTTCCTTAAGTGTTTCACAGCTTGCCTCAGGCTTTCCTTATGTTTGGAACAGGAGATCGAAGGTTAACTTATGGAAAAAGGGGCCTCGTTCCTTATTTAGGGTTCCTTAGGTCAACGCCCCGACTGTACTGCAGCCCCTGTCACCGTCACCAGGCGGGAGCCCTGGGGCTCCCCGCCTCGTGCGCGGGAGGCACGGCGGCGGCGGGCAAGGTGAGAAGCAAGGCTGGCGCGGCGTGAGAACCCAGGGCCCGCCGCCCCCGGACGCGCGGTGCCTCGGCTAAGGGGGCCACATCCTTGTTCCTTATTAGAATATACCCCCACCTACGTCGTATTCCGGCCGATAGCGACCCAATCTGGGACCTCCCATCCGGACTATTAAAAATCAATACAAAGTGGCCGTTTTCTTTCTCAACATCGTCTTTCTTGTCGTCGACGATGCGAAAAGCATGGCAGGAATGGGACGCGGCGCACATCGCGCGCGGTAGTCAATTTGGGCCCGCCCATCCGGACTGTAAACAATCAATACAAAGTCTTCGTTTTTCCATCTCAGCATGGCCTGCTTTGTCGCCGACGGTGCGAAATATGTGGCAGCAGTGGGACGCGGCGCACATATGGGACGCGGCGCGCATCGCGCGCGGCCGTCAATCCGGGCCCGCCCATCGTGATTGTAAAAAATCAATACAAAGTCTTTGTTTTTTCCTCTCACCATGGCCTGCCTTGTCGCCGACGGTGCGAAATATGTTGCAGGAATGGGACGCGGCGCGCATCGCGCGCGGACGTCCATGCGGGCCGCGGGCCCTCCCATCCTGATTGTAAAAAACAATACAGAGTTGCCGTTTTTCCTTTCATCATGGCTTGCCTTGTCGTCGACGATGCGAAATGCGTGGCAGGAATGGGGCGCGGCGCACATCGCGCGCGGACTTTTGGGGCAACCCCAAGGCGGGAGGGGCCACCTTACTTGTCAGAAGCAATGCCATGCTGATTTTCGCTCACATAGCTGTTCTTGTCGTACACCCCGCAAAAGTGCATGGCAAGAATTGGGCGCGGCCCCCCCCCCCGCTCGAAGTGAATGAAATGACATTCTCGCTTGGGCGCCGAGCGAAATTTTCTCAAAGTTGCGCTCCCGCTTTGGCTCGGCGCACGTTTTTAGCTCGCCAATTCATTGGGCGCTGGGGCGTTCCAGGAGGCCCTGGGGTGACGAATGCCTGGGAAGTTTTTGCTTGTTCAGGCTCTTGGGGGGCCTCCTGAGTCTCCCCGCGGCTTCTTGGCGCTACGGCCTTCTGGAGGCCATCTTGGGCGTCTTGGAAGCGATCTTTCGGCGACTTAGGGCTACTACTACTACTACTACTACTACTACTACTACTACTACTACTACTACTACTACTACTACTACTACTACTACTACTACTACTACTACTACTACTACTACTACTACTACTACTACTACTACTACTACTACTACTACTACTACTACTACTACTACTACCACTACGCGCCAGCACCCAGTTGCGCCAGCATTGTTTCTTATGTTGTGGGAGGGCGGAACGTGTCCGTTGTTCCTTTTCAACATGGCCAGTCTTGTCGTCGATGTTGCGAAATTCGTGGCGGGAATGGGACGTGGCGCACACCCCGCGCGGACGTCAATGCGGTGTCTTGGGGTATCCTCCACTCGCACTGAAAGGCCCGCGCAACCTCCAGTTGTGCCATCACTGTTTCTTATGTCGTGGGAGGGCGGGTGGGAATGGGCATGCCATGCTTGACTCGCTCGAGCTGGGTAGCTTGATGCGAACCCTACCCCGACACCCCCACGATTCCCAAGGAGGAGGGTGGGGTTCACTTTGCTCGGTCCAGGGCGGGCTCGGCGACACGCCGCGTGGAGAGTGTTTGGTACCCTCTGGACCACGGCGCGCGCTACGCCCTCTACCTCCCCCCGCCCCTCCCCACCCCCAGAAGGTGACGCTCCCCCCCCCCCCCAGCGCGCCCCCCGGCACTGCCGCAGCGCGTCCGGGCGCCACAGTCTGGGGGGGGGGGGGCCCTGCGTATGGCACCTTCCGGTCCCCCCCCCCCTCTTCTAAAACGACGCGAAGATCGGGACAAAATCGGATCGGGATAACTCGAAATCTCTAAAAATCGGCGGGTTTGGAGGATGTATTGGGCGCCGCGGCCGCTCCAGAGCGTTCCCGAACGCTCTGAGAGCGCTCCGGAACGCTCTGGAGCGATTTATCCCGATCCTAGCTCTGTTTTATCTTCCCCCACAGTGACGCTCGTCATGGCCGCGGATTGAAGCAATGCGCTCGTGGCGCCCCGATGCCGTTCTCGCGGCGCCGCGCGGCTGCCCACCCCTCCCCCACCCCTGGCGTTGAGTCGGGCCTGTCCCTTCCACAGGGGGAATATTCAAAAATACACCTTAGGCGATGTTTTCGTCCAGAGTCTCGATTATTCTTAACTTTTCAGTGTAAATCTCAAGATTTTGACAGAAGTCCTGGATTTTCTTTAATTTCTGAGACTATGAATTTCTTAACCCATGATTTCTTAAGCATCTCGCAGGGTGTAGTCAACAAATAGTCTGGGACGAATTTTTCTAGTATGTTTTGACCAGTTGGGGGCATTTTGGGGGTATTTCCATTTTTGTCGTCCGAGATCCCTTTGTAAAATGGAACAGGCCCGACCTAACCCTGGCGGTGCAGGGAGCCCCTGCGAGGAGCCGCCGGCGGTGGCGCCCTTGCCGCGGCGGCCTTCGAGTGCGGGTCGGACGTGGACCTCGGCGCGAACGCCTCGATTCTCGGCAGGAATCGGACGGGTCTAGGATTTAAGTCGGGCATGTCCCCCTACAGGAGGAAGGTCCAAGAATACTGCAAAAATGGTCAGGTGACGATTTTTAGGTTTTTTGTTGTTTGACTCATGTTTGATTGTTTTTGGGTAGTAGTTCGTTTCCTTTCGAATTTGCCTGTAGAAGGACATGCCCGACCTAAGGCTAGGATGAGGATAAATCCGCTCCAGAGCGTTACGGAACGCTCTCAGAGCATTCTGGAACGTTCTGAGAAGGCCGCGGCGCCTGAGGCATCTTCCAGAGTCGCGGGATGATGAAGATTCTCGATGTATCCTCACTCGATTTGATCCTCGTCCTGGCTGTGCCTTAGGAAAGGGGTCAACATCGACGACTCGACCATGCAGTGCGCGAGGGGGGGGGTCGGGGACGCATGGGTGAGAGGGAGGGGGCAGGCAATGGGGCGGAGAGAGGAGGGGCGGAGGGAGCATGGTGGAGGGAGTGGGGGAGGGAGCGAGGAGGGGGGGGGAGGCAGGGAGGACGAGGAGGAGATAGCGAGGAGGAGTAGGACGAGGGAGGAGGCCGAGGAGGCCTTGTTGCGACGATCGTGCCCCCTACGGCCCCAAGATGTAACCGACACGCGCTAGATTTCCAGGTCTAGCTGCAGCAGTGATGTCGGTCCCTGGGGGGCAGGGTCTCAGGGGCCGCCTGAGGAGTTCTCGTCGCCTCGGCTGGATTCGTGCAGCGCGCCCGAGGATGGGTCCAGTGGTCATGGCGAGGGAGAGATGATGAGAATGCCGAGGACGCAGAGGAGGACGCAGAGGAGGAGGAGGAGGAGGAGGAGGAGCAGGTGGAGGAGGAGGAGGATGAGGGTCATATTGATGAGGATGATACGGGATGGGGAAGATAAGGAGGAGAAGGTGGAGGATGAGGTGGAGGATGGGGGGGAAGGGGAAAAGGAGGAAGTGGATGTGGACGATAGGAGGCGGGTTGATAAGGTGGACGGCTGGGGAGGATCAGAGGAGCAGAGAGGTGGTGCACCTCGCAGATCGCCGACGTCTGGCCGAACGTCGCCGGCTCCCACTTGTCGTCGATCCGCCTGTTCAAGGCCTGTAGTGACTCCTTGGGCCGTTGTTCTTTGTCCTCCTCACCCTCCTCCTCTTCTCCCTTCTCCTTCTCCTTCCCCTCCTCCTCCTCCTCCTCCTCCTCCTCCTCCTCCTCCAAGCCTTTCCTCATGCATAACTCTTCCCTGTCGCACCCCGGGTCCAGTCGAATGGACGGGCTGGGCGTTCCGCTGGAGACTTCCTTGCCACTGACGACCCTGAAGCTTAACATTCGCAAGAGTTTTTCCGGGTGGAATGCGGCCCGGTTTTTTTAACGTCGTTCTCGCCTCAGCGCGGCGCACACGTTTAAACATGTTGCAAGAGATTCACGGACGCATGTCGTTTTTTTTTCAAAGTGAGGTTCTCGCCTCAGCGCCGCGCATAGTCGTCTCAAAAGTTCGCACGCGTTCCACGGATGTAAGGCGGCTCCTTTTCAACGTGAGGTCTCGCATTCGTGCGGTGCACATTCGTAGCAAGAGTTCGCAAGAGTTTCAAGCATGTCCCCGCAGTCTCAAGATTCTTTTCTATCTCTTCAAGCAAACACCTTTCCGCAGACACCACAATCCCATCTTCCATTACCTTCCATCCGATATGGTTTGCTCTATACGTTTGGTTGCTTGTTCTCGTGGAGGTATGTCGTCCCCGACTACGTCAAAACACATTCGCATGGCAGGCACACCCGTCAAGGACGCTCTGCAGCTTCTCGCGGGGAGAGCGAAGCAACGCAATATCCACAGCCCACTACATGAGATGGGCGGGCCTCTCCGGCGAGGCCTTCCCCGAGCCCGCACCTCTACTTCAACGTCGATTCCAGGACATATTGGCGGCCGCGGCCAGACCCGACCCAGGAAAACTCGGACAAGGAGGCTAAGGAGGAGGATCTGGATCGGCCACTTCGCGCAGCATCAACAGGGAGGAATGAGCTGCCGATGCGGAGGGGCTCACAGTGGGACAACTTAAACAGATATCCCGTGAACAGCTCCAATGATTCAAAACGATTTCCTGGCAATAAAGCAAGGCGGAGTTGCATAACAACAACTACGCACGGTCCCGGGGGTGACAGCGCTTGAGACCCAAACGTCATACCCGGTTTCTGCAGGTACCGGGTCCGCACGCAGCATGGGCAGCACCATGGAGGCGAATATCAACGAGTTCGAACGCCAGATGGCGGTACTTACCACGAACCAGCACCACAATTGCAACGCGGTCGTTGGAGGCCTAAGTGTTTTTTTCTCAGCATGGATGAGGCCGTGGATTTCCTTAAACATCAATTTGAGCGTTCCAAGACGCCAGAGCACATCGATGTTTTCACGAAGGGCGAGTTCAACAACATGCTTTAATGAAGTTCGACGATACGCAGGCCCGGGACAGTTTCGTCAACGTTATTGGGAGGGCGCAGATCAGCCACACTGCGGATACAGCATGAAACCGGGCCGACCATCTTGTTGAGAAGCGGACCCCAAAGAGTTGATTCAATTCGGTTTATGGAAGCAGTTTTTCGCCTGGGGCGTGGTCCTTCTGGGCGTTCCTTCCCTGCAGGGGGCCATTGCCCTGGGGCGCGGTCACCCTATGCCGCGAGGGCTGGGGCTGGGTGGCTGTCCGTGATGCTTAACCCACGGGGTTGCCCTACCCAGTGAAAGAAAGGCCGGACGGTCACATAGGGGGGGCGGTCGTGGGTTTCTCCATCGCCGCCGAGCTCACCCATCTCATGGGGAGGTGGCCAAGGTGTCGCCGACAGGCACCGCATGGTCACTGACTGTGATTCGGTGCGTGCCTGGGGACTTCCCGGCGCCTATCGGCACCGGCCATGCTGGCGGCGGCAGCTTCGTTTTGTGTACTCGAAGCACGGCGGGCCGGGAGCTGTTGGAGCTGATCGAGGTCCCCTCGCATCGTCCATTGCGACACGGAGTACTTCTTGGAGTGGTGGGTTAATTCGACTCAGATGGGTGGCCACACGTGTCCGGGGGCCAATCTGACCCGCATTCATCATTCCCCACGCATGCAGTCACCAGCATTGCATGCCAGCCCGCCGAGCGAGCTGCGAAGAAGAAGCAGTTGTTCGTATGGGGGTATTCAAAAGGAGAGGTTCGTGTAGACACCAATACTCACGAGATGAAGGTGGCCAAAGACCCAGCGGCAACAGTGAGCGCTGCCAGCGATACCCCGACCATACCATGGGAAGGAGCGTTGAAAACTTGGGCGATGGTGGTGGGGGGGGGAGGGAGGGGGGAACTACGGGGAGTCCCGAAGTGGCACGCTACCACGCGTGCCAACGGCATGCTGGGCCGAGTGGCCAAAGGGAATGGGGCAGGGGAGAAAGGTGCAGCGGATGACCATTCGGGACAGGGGCCAGGGCGGTGAGTCCGTTTCTCAGGGAGAACCCGGGCAGGCGCACTGGTAACTTACCCGTGCTGGCCTATGGCGCGCGGCAGGGCTGCCGGTTTGAATGCCGAAGGGATTGCCAACGGCAGCCCGCGCCAATTCTTCGAGTTCATCAAACAGATTTGGGAGTTGGGCGGCGCTGTTTTCTGTGTTCAAGAGACCGCTGTGGGTCCGAAGTCTACCTGTTCGAATGCCGTTTGGTGGTTCTACCCGGATCAGAGGGTGATCGAAGAGCACATGCGGGAGTCGGCTTCACCGTGGCACCCTGGGCACGGCGATGAATCGAAGGTTAGTTGCAGTGCGACAGCCGCGCGGCGAGCTTGCGGGCCCAGGCAACAGGGGGCGCAGTTTTGCCAATAACAGTACGCGCCTGGCCAAACGCGCGCGACTAAGACGTAAGTCGCGACTTCTACACAGAATTTGATCATAGATCTGCGCATTGCCAGCCCATGGGCCAGCGTCGTTGCTCGGCGATTGCAACGCCAGGTTGCCGCGAATCTTCATCGGAGAAGAAGAGAGTGCAGGCGCGCGCGCGCGCGCCCGACCTCTCGAAGCAAATGGCGCCCACTGTCAACCAGAGAACTGTCGGGTGAAGTTTGCGACGCGACAGAGACGGGCGTTGCGAAAGCGTTTTTCGATGCGCCAGTGGAGGCGCAAATGTTCCGCCGCGACACTGGCGCGGACCCCGCGGGGGCAATTCAAGCAGGGGTGTTTGGAATAACTGGGCGACGCTTTTGTTGGTCCGCGACGGTTGCCAAACGCGCGAGATATCTGGGGCGATCGGCATTGGGCTCTTCAGCCACGTGATGTTCCATCTTGCGGATCTGAGCAACGACGTGCCCATCGCCGCCCGCGCGCCGCGCCCGCCGGGGCGCGACTGGAAAGCACTGCGGCGCAAGGCCGCAGCAGCAGGGCACGCGGAGGGCTTCATCAAGACATGGCGGGCCAAGCAACCAAGCGATTGCTTGCCAAAGAAGGCGAGCATCATTGCAGAATGCACGCGCGAGGCCGCCGTGGGAACCGAACCCTCTCTAGCAGCTGCGCCGCGTCCTTGGGTATCTTCGCGGAAAGGCGAGCGCAGGTTTCCGCGCGCGCTCATGAGAAGAAGTGGCTTCGACCATGCGCCCCAAAATGGAGGGTGGGATGCGATTCGCCCTCGCAGGAAAAGATCGGCATCTCGCCGGGGCGCCTGCGAAACAAACGCGGCGATCTAGGAGGCGTCGATCAGAAAGCAGGAACAATTGCTGACTATCTGGAGGACGCGCAGTGGGCGTTATGCGACGGCCCGCGACGCCCTCCAGACGCGCAGCGCAACGCGGCCCCCCTTAACGTCAACCTTGGGCACGTCACCTTCGAAGAAGTCCGCAGAGCAGTCATTGCGCTACGGGCCCAGAAAAGCAGCGGGAAACGACGACGTGCCGCTCCCCGGCAAATTCTGTGGTCCAATAATACAGCCTCGGGAACATCTTGCAAGTGATGCAACGGGCGCTGGCAGCAAAAAGAATTGCCCGAAGAGTGGGGATAACTACCCATTGTGAAGGCATTCGAAAAAGCCGACGCGCGGCAACCAATCAACCAATATCCTCGCTGGCTGTAGGCTACAAAGTACCCGCGAGAATCATTCTGCACCGGCTCAAACCAGGAGTTGGGGAGGATCGCCTGCGAAAGTCTCGGCGCGGCTTCACACCAGCGCGCGGAGCCGCTGACGCATTGTTCTTGGCGCGCCGCCTCATTGGTGCGGCATCGGAAAATTAGGTTGGGAAGCTTATGCTTTTGCTTTGGCGTCGGAGAGTATGGGTTGCTTCGAGCTTCGAGGCAATTTGGAGTTCACTCTGACAGGATTGACATAATCAGTGGAATCCACGCCGCCCGCAAATTCATCGCGACAGGAAGGGGGGCCTACTCTTCGCAGAGGTCGCAGAACGCAGGGGTCGCTCCTGGGCGGCCTTTGTCACCGGATTGATTTGCCATCGTCCTGTCAGTTCTTTCACGAGCAGCGGGCGGCAACATGGATGGCCACAGTCAGTCGACATCCAAGAAGCCGCATCTCACCAAAACGGACATACTCTACACCTACGACGCGCCCCAGCATCGGAGACATTGGGAAGTCATGCGATTTGGAGCTCATGGCTGGCAGAACAACGACGCCGAAGATGGGGCGCGCGCGCGCGATGCTTGGACTGGGGGGCCAACCGTTTCAGTGCACAGACAACGCTGTATATCTGGGCGGCTACTTGATCACAGACGGGAGCTTCGAGACAGGGCTGGCGCGACGTATTGGTGAAGCGAAAAGGGTTTTCCACAAACTCAGTGCCTGGAACCACGCGAGCGTATCTCGTCGACAAAGTGTTAATACTGGAGACTTGGATCCTTTCGACTGCTGTAGATGGACTTGAATTCTAGACGCTTCGCGTATCCCCACCAGCCCGTCCAGAAACGACGCCCAAGCGAGTAGAGGGTCGTCCTGAGGGGCTTTTCGGCGTCTTGGGTGCCTCGGGGGGGCCTCTGTGGGCCGTTCGGGATCCTCTTTGGGGCCTCCTGGGGGCCTCTTGGGGCCATCTTGGGGCCTCTGGGAGCACCTTGGGTGCCTCTGGGGGATCTCTTGGGGCCTCTTGGGGGTCTCTTGGGGGCCTCCTGGGGGCCTCTTGGGGAGCCTCTTGGGGTCATCTTGGGGCCATCCTGCGGCCTCTTGGGGCATCCTGGGGGCCTCTTGCGGCCATCGTGGAGGAAATCGATCAAAGAAGAGGGGTTCCTTAATTAGAGGCCCCCCCCAGGAGCCACGATCCTTGTGAGGGGTGTCGAATTTTAGCCTTCCCAGGGGTCGATCTTGGGCGCTCCAGCGCGCCGCGGAACCCCCTGTCCAGGTCAGTGGGGAGGGGGTAGGGGGAGGGGTAAACCCCTCCCCGAAGGGGAAGAAGGAGGGGAGGAAGAGGAAACGCTCTTAACCACCGACGCCCAGAGGGCTGGTGGGATTATATTTGTCGCTTGCCGTCGATCGGGACAATTCGTCGGGTTTCAGGTTCGGTGTCTGCGGGAGATCAAGAAAAGCCCGCCGGCCTTCATCTGGAGGGTCAGTAATGCCGAAGTGTGAGAGAGAGGGAGAGAGAGAGAGAAGCAAAAAAAAGAAAGGAAGAAACAACAACAAAAACTGAATGTCTGTCGACAACCTCATTGCAGAGACTGTTCAAATACTATGGAGAATTTGCCAGAGATCAGCTTTGGACGCTACCTAAACAGTGGTTTCCCAAGACGGCCAGGCGGGTGGGATCTGACCCAGAAGTTGTATCATACGCCGCAAACGAGAACAATTTGGAGTTCAATGGGGCCACCACATGCACGCTTGCTCCCTGGACGCGGCGGGGGGCGATCCGGATCGGTGACAATATCTTCTGGGACGCTCGCCTGCGCCGTAGTACAGTACAGCAGATATATTTAGCTCGGTGCTCTCTTTCCCTCGTAGTTTCCCTTCACTTCCCCCCCCTCCCCCTCCCCCTCCCTTCTCCCGTCTTCCGCGCTCCGTAGATACATTGTCTTCCGCCGCCCGGCACTGACCTGCGCTCAGTGTCTGTGTTATGGCGCGCTTGCATTCGCGATGCAGCATATCAAATGTTTCGTTGGCCTTCTCATCATGTGGATTTTTGTTGTCGGAGCGCCGTCCAGGCGCGGCTTCTCGCGCGCGAAAAAAAACATAGACTTTCAGGGCGCAGCCGTCACGTTTTTTTTCGCGGGTTCGAAGTCCCAGGAATGGTGTTCTGGCACGATACAGATGGTCAAAACGTAGCAATAATGGTGACTGGTGACTCGCGGCGTTGACGTTCCAGGGATGGTGTTTTGGCACATCTCCAAATTCTCAACCTTTGTTCTCCAACAGGGCACTTCCTTTCTAGTGAACATGGATCCGTGTAGGAGCCTACGAAGAGGGGACTTGGGAGGAAGGGTGCATCGCAATATCGTAGATGAGCCTTGTGTTCACACAGGTCCTCCTACTCCTATACCTCCTCTTAATTGAAATCGGCGCCAACGAACTCGGCGCGTATTCATATTTGCCGCCGCAGCTGTTTCTTCTTATTCGTATTGCTCGCCTCCTCCTCCGCCTCCGTCTTGTCCTCCTCCTCCTCCTTCCCTTCGCCCCCCCTCCAAACATGGTTTCCCCGACGCGCTAGTGAGGTTCAACCAGAAGTAGCGTCGAGCACTGTCAATGGCAATATCAATTACAACTTTTATAACCTTTACACCATTTCAGACACCCGGCGCTTTCCAGCGCGCGCAGATGAGGGAAGGATGCGGAGAAGGCAAGGCGAGGAGGGACACGAGGACCATCAGCAACACGGAGGATGAAGAAAGAGGAGGGTGGACGAGGAGGAGGGTGGAGGAGTGTCCTCATCTTGTTTCTCCCCCCATCGAGGCTTGGGACGTCGCCTGGGACCCAGGCGAGAGGATCAACGCCTGGGCGGGCCTCCTGCGCTATGTGGAGCAGGAGGATGCCAAGGTCCTCCTTTCTCCCCCCTCATCCTCTCCCCCTCTTTCCGCCCTCCCTCCTCCTGAACCTCTTTAATCCTTCTCTTCCTACCATTTCCCCTCACCTCCTGGTCTTCCTCCCTTCCCCTTTCCGTCCTTCCTCGTCGTCACCCTCCCTCCTCGTCCTGCCTCTTCGTGCCCTGCCGCGGGATGGGTTGGGGCGGTCAGTGCAGCCGGTTTCGATCTTCTTGTTCGTCCTTCCAGTATCGCCGTGAAGAATCGGGGTCCTGAAGAAGACGGTAATTACAGGTGTTCGCACTTTAGAAGAAACGGCTCAGGCAGTGTCGCTCGCATACCGCTGTCGCTACGCTGACAAATCCGGACCCAAGAAACGCCCCAGGAGTCCAGGTCCGCTTCCCCTCGTGCCAGTGAAGAGTCGATCATCCTCCGGATGTGAGTTGGCCTGGTCTGTGCTTAATTCCGTTCAGCTCCGCCGATCGCACGAGACTTGCGCTGGCCCTCCTCATGCCGCCTGCGTCGACTTACGGGAGCTTCGGTGGACAGGCACACGCTGGCGCTAGCACACGTCCTGAGGGTCATCGAAGGGAGCATTTCAGGTCCTGCTGGGCACCCCGATCACGTGCAACGAGACGAGCGACAGCCAGGCCTGGGAGTGGGCGAAAGAGCTCGCCGGGCTCCTGGGCCCGCGCCACATCATGGGGCTCGCCATCGGGAACGAGCTCGAGCTCCTGCAGTTCAAGAGCGAGGAGCACGTGCCAGAGGGCTGCGTGGATTGGGTTTTCAGCCCAGGCGCCACGGAGGACGGGTATCCTGGGGCGCTGCCGCGCCCAGCCGCCGCCGCGCATCTCGGGAAGTTGGGCGGCAGAGAGAGAGCTGCGACTGCTGCGACGCTGCCGGTGTTTGCCAGCCTGCGCCGGGGTCGCGCCGCGTCGACGTGGCGCGGGTGCCGAAGGCTGGAGGCCACAGGTGGTCTGAGCTAGGCTCGGGGGAGCGTAAGACCCGGGTTTGCCAGGACTCGGGTTCGCCATTTTTTTTTGACGACCGCGACTCGGATTTTGACGAGGAGGAGTTTCGTGGGATGTCTGCAGCGGGAGGCCTCGTCAAAATGCAGGCTCGGCCTCGTCATTTTTTTGACGACCTCGTCGGGGATTTCCGAGTCCCCCGTACCCGGGTCTTACGTCTCCCCGACACAGGTGGTCTGAGCTAGGCCAGCCGTGAACGAACCGCGCCGTCGGACAGCGGAGATCGCTCAAATGAGTCCATGTTGCACGCGCGGTGTCCGAAGCTGGCGCCCACGTCGACACGACAGGAGCCGGCCGCGGGGGAGTCCTGGGCCTGGGGCCGCGGGAGGTCCTTCGGGAGAGCCCGGCGGCCGTCCCGGCACGCACCAGAGGCTATGCGGTCCTCAGGGGCCCCCCTGGTTTGCCACGCCCTGGGGCCCTCCCGGCTTCGTGGGGGGTGCTCGGGAGGCCATGTGGGGCCTCTCCATGGGACAGCTGGGGCGGCCTGGGGCCAGGGTCACTCCCAGCAGCGCTCGACACCGTGGGGCCTGCTGGGTGGCCGTGCGGGAGCACTGGCGATCCAGAGCGGGAGAGCTCTTTGCGCCGCCCTGAAATGTGCGCAGGGCGGTTCCGTGGAGCTCCCGAGCAGGCTCGGCAGGTCCACGATCCCGTGGAGTTTCCACGGGTGCCCGGGCTACAGGATCGTGGACCCCTTGTGAACCGCAAGCGTCCAGCTCTCGCGCCGAAAACCGCGGGAAACCGCCGAAGACCGCCAGGAACCAGCAAAAACCGCCGAAGACCCTCCGAAGACAACCAGAAGACCACCAGAAGACCGCCGAAGACTGCCAAAGGCCGCCGCAGACCGCCGAACTCCGTCCGACGACCGCCGAAGGACCGCCCAGGAGCGATGGCTACGGCGAGAGGCAGCGATGGGTTCCACGAGTCGAGCCTGCGAGGCCGTCCGGGGCGCCCCGGTGCTGCCGAGCGCTCCAGGGGGGCCAGGTCCCTCCCAGGGCTCGCCCCCGGGACCCCCCCCCCCCGGGCGGGGAAGCGATAAAAGGGAAGGGGCTTCCTTTCGACTCAATGACGGCGTGGCTCAATTTTGTGATTAAGACACTGCTCAATTTCCTGTCGCTTCGCCACGTGAGGGGGAGGCCTTGGAAAAGGGAAGGAGCGACGACGACGACGAAGAGGGGGCAGACAGGAAAGCCTCAGAGGGGGCAGAGCGAAAAGCCTCTTCCACACGTCGACACAGGGGTCGGCGGATTTTTGGAGGGTCGGGGACGACGTCGGGGTGGTATGGTGTATACTTGTTTTTCCGTTCCCCAGGGAACCAACGAAAAATGTATACACCAGGATCCCGTATACATCCAGGTCCGTTTTCTTGTGCAAGTCTCAGTGCAGCGCCAGAAAAAGTGTTCGCGCGCCGTCTGGCGCTGGGCTTCTGCGACTGACTGCGGCTAGCGGGAGAGACTGCACTGGTGTGTTGCGCTTTGGGAGGGCCCACCGTGGAGCCCTGCATTTGGCGCCGCTTGTGGATGGTAATGTGGAGGTTCTGGGGACTTCGTGTTAAGTCGGGCGTGTCCCTCTACAGGGGGGATATTCAAAAATAGTAAAGAAATAGTCTGGGTACTATTTTTGAGTATTGTTGACCTTTTCGGAACATATTTTGAGTATTTTTTATTCTTCGTCGAAAATCCCCCTGTAGCGGGACAGGCCTGACTTAAACTTAGTGGGAAACGCAGACGCATTGATGCGGTGGGACGGGTTTCGTTAGACTTCGCGTCGCGAGCAGGAGGGCCCACAGGAGGGCGAACCGCGCCAAGAGCCACGGCTCTGCGCCGTGGGCGGATCTGTGGTCGCAGATGACCCGTTTCGTGTCGGAGTTTGACGCTTTGGGCGCGGCCTATCAGCAGGTGCCGATCACCTGCGTGTCGACGGGCTACGCGCTGGGGGGCGGGTCCGCGGGGTCAACATTCCTCGAAACACCGTCTGCCCCGATGAACAGTCTGTACGTCCAGATGCAGAGCCGGTGGGGCAGTCGCATGGCGTTCACTTTCAATTTCTATCCGTACTTCAACGGCTGGCGCGACGCCGACGGTGGCTGTGACAGCGCCCTTGCTTGGGGCAACTGCTTCGAGAGGAACTGCATGGTGCCCAGCAAGGTGAAGGACGCGCGCAACAAGATCATGCATCTGACAGGCGACGCCACCCGGCTGCTGTGGATAGGCGAGACGGGTTGGTCTTCTTCGGTCTCTGAGACTTTGGGCACAAGCGACATCACGGAATGTCTTGAATGGGCGTCGCCTGATTCGTTCCGGAGGTACTACGAGGGATTCTTGGGTTGGGACCTCGGCTTCACTCCCGACCAGTGCTACTATCACGTTCAGTTAGCGGACACGAGCAAGGGCGAAAGCGGATGCGCCAATGCTTCGTTGTCGTGGAGCGAGTACGTGAACGACATCGGCGAGTGCCGGGCGAATTGCAATGCACAGGGCGCAGTCTACATCTCGTGGCACGCGGACAGGCGGTGTGGATGCTACTCCAGTTGCGAGCTGTCGCGCCCAGCGTCAGAGTTCGGGGCGGCCGCTGTGTTCTACGAGTGCGGCGGGGACGTGCCTGTGGACCACGCTTTCTTCTTCTCGCTGAGAGATTCGCAGGTATTCGGCAAGACGGAGGCGTTTGGTTTGGTGGGCCGTTGCGACGAGCCCACTTGCAAGGTTGTGGCATCCCCGAGTTTCCAGACGTACGACTACCAGGTCTTTGGCAATGCCTCGGAGAAGTGCGGTGGGCTTGTACTGTTCGACGGCCCGTCCTACGGGGCTGAGAATTGCCAAAACAAGTGTTCTATGGACTCCCGGTGCGCGTTCTTCACACGATGGCCCAATTCATGGGAATACGATGGTCAAGACGTGTATTGGTGCAGGTTGACGGAGAGCTGTTGCGACACAGAAGTTGTAGACGATTATCTGCAAGTTTACGCAAAACGCGTTGTGGGTTACGACCCTAACAGCAGCGTTGATTGTGACAGCACACAGACTGACTCCGCGGTATCCGAGCGCGGTTTCTCTCTGACGGCTGGGATTGTTCTACTGTGCAGTATGTTTTCGGGCTCTTTCTGACCAGGTGGTGCGATAGGCGCTCGCGCGCCAGATAACGACCCATCTGACATTTCGGGGCCCGCTCTTGATGTAGTCTCACATCAGTAGCCACTCACCAGAAGGGGCGACAAGTAGTTTCGGTCAAAGCACCATTAGGTGTACTGCTATGTGCACGCCACGCTAAGACGTGGCGGCCACCGCAGTTGTGGACAAAGAGAAGGCCGCCATCACTAACCCGCTCATCCGTCAGTGCTTCGCAGGTTGCGCATTCGAAATCGCAAGCGGACAATTCAGGAGGCAACGATCACAAGGGCAGGTACGCCAGCGCAAGCGACGACAGTCAAGCGTGAACAAGTCAACAAGCAAGCAGGACAGATCGGACAATCATGCAGACAAACATATGCTAGCTCTTGCACGCGATCGTACAATAGTATCGACGACGCCTACGGCGATCCACCGTCGCTCCCTGCCTGTTGGAAACGCCTGCGTGGCCAAACGCTTGGTCGACGTTTTGTCAAGCTGTTGGACTGCGCGTTCCCCTGGCCGTTGTGGGAATGCTTGGGCCCTGTGGTAACACGTGGGAGGAAACTTACGGAGAATGAGAGTGAGGAGGAACAGGAAACGGATGCCTCTTATCCACCACGGCATGCGAGGGGGAAATTGAGAAGGGGCGGGCTTTTTCAGAAGGCTCGGAAGTTCCCCGGCCTTCTGAGAAGTTTCTCAGAGGGCGCGAGGGCATCTGAGGAATCCCGCCGCCTTCTGAGAAGGCCTTCTCCTTCTCATTTCTCCCTCTCGCTCGCATCCGATCTTAGGGCCTCCTGGCGGCCTCTTTGTGGGCCTCTGCGGACCTCTCAGGGTCTCTTTCGCCTCCCCGGGACGGGGCGTTCTGGGGCCGGTTCGAAGGGCCGTGGGGCCGTTTGGGGGACCCCTTGGGGCTGTGTCGGGGGCATTTTGGGCCATCTTGGAGCCCTCTTGGAAGCTTTTCCTCATCAGCTGCGAGCTGCCCTGCCGGGGCTTTGCACAGCTGATTTCGCCTGGATGCTCTAGGGCGTGATTTTTGAACCCGATATTTAATTCCTCGGCATTCGGCCGACGGCGTCTAGGCCTTTAGCAGCCTTTCGCCATGAGCAACCATACGTGCAACAACAACAATCATTTTAAGACTGTTCGCCCTTATCTGCTCGAGTGTCGAATAACGCGGATGTCCCAAACCCTCGATACCCGCCCTTTTCGTCTTCGATCGAACCCCTCTTTGGGGGTATACCTTTCTTCCCTGCAGGCCGGGCCCCGGCAAGCGGCGGGGCGGCCGCGGACCGTCGGCCTGGCCAGCGGCAGCGCTGATCGGCGGGGCGGCCGCGGACCGTCGACCCGACCCCAAGAGGGACGGACAGGGGACCGACCACGACGACGACGACGACGACGACGACGACGACGACGACGACGACGTCGAAGACGACGGCGACGACGCGACGACGGCGACGACGAGCGAAAGCGAGAGCGAGAGAGAACGACAGCAGAGCCACGAAGGACACGAAGTAGGCCACGAAGGGCGACAGCGGGGACACGAAGGGAATGCGTATGGGGCCACGAAGAGCGCGAACGAGCGTGGGCCACGAAGGGCAGATAATGCGGGGCCACAGAAGGCAACGATGGGGCCACTGAGGGTAGCACCTGGGCCACGTAGGACAATGAGGGGGCCACAAACGGCGACAGCGGGGCCACGAAGGGCATGCACATGGGGCCACAACGGGCCGAACGAGCGGGGGCCACGAAGGGCACGCGTATGTTGGGCCGCGGAGGGTAAGGACGGGGCCACTGTGGGTAGCAACGGGGACACGAAGGGCAGCGAGGGAGCCACGAAGGGCGACAGCGGGGCCACGAAGGGCATGCATATGGGGCCACCACGGGCGCGAACGAGCGGGGGCCACGAAGGGCATACATATATGGGGCCACGAAACAAAGCGAGGGGGCCACGAAGGCTGCAACGGGGCAGCGAAACAAAGCGAAGGGGCCACGAAGGACTGCAACGGGGCCACGAAGGGCTGCAACGGGGCCACGGAGGGCAGCGAGGGGGCCACGAAGGGCTGCAGCGGGGCCACGAAACAAAGCGAGGCGGCCACGGTGGGGTGCACCGGGGGCCACGAAGGGCAACGAGGAGGCCACGAAGGGCTGCAACGGGGCCACGAAACAAAGCGAGGGGGCCACGAAGGGCTGCAACGGGGCCACGAAGGGCATGCATATGGGGCCACCACGGGCGCGAACGAGCGGGGGCCACGAAGGGCATACATATATGGGGCCACGAAACAAAGCGAGGGGGCCACGAAGGGCTGCAACGGGGCAACGAAACAAAGCGAAGGGGCCACGAAGGACTGCAACGGGGCCACGAAGGGCTGCAACGGGGCCACGGAGGGCAGCGAGGGGGCCACGAAGGGCTGCAGCGGGGCCACGAAACAAAGCGAGGGGGCCACGGTGGGGTGCAACGGGGGCCACGAAGGGCAACGAGGAGGCCACGAAGGGCTGCAACGGGGCCACGAAACAAAGCGAGGGGGCCACGAAGGGCTGCAACGGGGCCACGAAACAAAGCGAGGGGGCCACGAAGGGCTGCAACGGGGCCACGAAGGGCAGAGAGATCCCGATCCCTAGGTAATCTGTGAAGGAGTCCTAAGCGTGAGCGCGACTCCTGGGTGCCTGGGTGTCGGGAGCGCGGCGCTGGACTAAATTGCAAGAAATTCCAACGCAAGGGCGCTATTCTTCAGTAAATTGCTAGCAAGTCTCCAGCGAGAGCGCGACTCCATAGCACAGGAGGAGCGATCCCTGAATAAATCGTAAGGAAGATCCAAGCGAGAGCGCGATTCTTGAATAAAATGCGAGGAAGTCTCGGGCGGGAGCGGGGGTCCTGGCTAAATTGTAAGGAAGTCTCAGGCGAGAGCCGTTGTTGTTGTAACCCGGGGGCCAAGGGACTAGTTTGAGCAGGAAGATTTTCCTTGTCAAAAAACAGGGTGCGAGCCCCGGGGGGGCACTTCAATCGAAAAAAATCAGTGTGCACCGGTGGGGGGGATCAACAATAATTATTCTTCAAGAGTGAGAGTTCAACCACCACCACCACCACCACAACAACAACAACAACAACAACAACAACAACAATAGCAACACCAACAACACCAACAACAACAACAACTTGTGTATGACTCTTCGCTCGTATCTGCTTGCGTGCCATTCAACACGTGTATCCCACACCCTCGATACCCTCCTTGTTCGTCTTCGATCGTACCCCCTTACGGGTATATTTTTCTTACCTGCAACGTGTATTTCATGCAGCCCCGAAGGCAGGGGAAGAGAGGACGGTTGGAAGGAAAGGACAAGGAGCAGGTGGGTTGTTGAAATGTGCGTCCTGCGTGGGTCGCGAGGACGTCTCGAGCGATAGCGCGATTCCCACATGAATCGTAAGGACATCCACAGCGAGAGCGTGATTCGTGAGTGTCGCGGGCGCGGCGTCTGAATATATTGCGAGGAAATCCCACGCGAGAGCGCGATTTTTTGATTAATTGTTTCATGTGCCTAGATGCGTCACAAACCCGAGGGTGATGCACATCGGCCGAACACTGCGGTACCACACTTGCCGCAATTAACCGCAATCGCTGAACTATACCAGACATTGCGATACAACAGTTACCGCGTTGCGCATCGCGCGGCGTGAAGCGCGACGTTTTGGCGACCTGTCGGTTGTCCACGTCGTCGTCTGATTTGGAGAACTATGGAGATTGCTGCACTTGTGGCAGACGGGCCTTGTAACCGGAGACTTCGTTTACAAAGTGTGAACGGAAGCTCCGTTTATACCGCGCACCAGCATTACGTCGGGCTTGTCTTTCTACAGGAGGAATATTCAACACTAGTAGTACAACATAGTCTGGGGACGATGTTCTGAGTATTGTTGAGCATGCTTTAGGCATGTTTTGTCATTTTTACTTGTTCGTCCAACATCCGCCTGTAGGGGGACATGCCCGACCGAACACCAGCAATGACAAGTATGGCGAGGGGGCGCCCCGCTCCAGACATCCTAGCAGTGGCAGTTGCGCCCGTCACCTGTTCACCAGAGTTCGTTTTCGCTTACACTGGGTGTGTGCAGTGGGGGGTGTGGAATCATATGGCTCCCTCTCGTCCTGACTATCCGTGCTTTTCTGTGTTTGTGTCTGTTGTATGCTTGCTTGTGCACAGCGCCGTGACTGACGCTTTGGCTCAAGCCATTCTGTGCGCGTTGAGTGCAAAGGCATCCCTTTCAGTACATCTTGCGATGGCCGCCTGAACCCGTCGTGCCCACAGTGGTAGCGGAGCGTGGTTCACCGAACGACTTCCGGAAGCGAGGCCCAGGGCGGGTGCGCAGCTGGAGGACGGTTCACAGATCTACGGCAGGGCGAGGGCGACCTACGAGGGTGCAAGTACTGAAGACGGGTGATGAGTCACTCGAGCGCAGCTGCCTCAGCTAGCAGAGGTGCTCTTGTTAGCCCTCGAGGCGGCAGGGAAGGGCTGACAGACGCAGACATCGACAAGATTGCAGGCAGAGTGGCCCAGATGATACGGCTGGGCACAGAGGCTGCGCCGGCCTCGGCGCCACCTGAGGGCGCACCTAACCTCCAGGGGCTCGCCGGTCAAGATCAGAGCGCGGCTCCATCTCACGAAGCAGGCTGGAGCGTGGTCGACGACCCCTGGACGGAGCACGATCCGTGGCGAGAAGAGTGGAGAGCGAAGGATGCGCGGGCAGAAGAGGACAAGCTAACACCACCATCCATGAGGGCATCAGACACCTGGAAGGAGTGGAGAGACAGACCCGGGCGACAACAGACCTGGGATCAAGACTACTCGTGGCAGAGCTGGGGTAGTCAAGGCAGCACGTGGCAGCACGACCGCGGCTGGTGGCAGGGCCAGTGGACCCAACCCAGGCCAGCACCATCCTGGCCAGGCTGGGAGAGATTCAGGCTGTGGAAGCAGTACGTGCAGCGCTGGAAGAACGGCCTGAACTTGAGCGAGGCTCAGGCAGCAGACAGACTGCTAGAGATCCTGCCCTGGGAGATCCGGGCGACCCTCGAGGACGTCCCGGATAGCGAGCTGACGGTCGAGCTCATACTGAAGAGGATGGGCCTCAAGTCCGGTGAGCGCGAGGACGACGACCTCTACCGGACGGGCAGCGAGGCCATGCAGGACACGGAGAGGAAGAAGGATGAGGACCTGCACACCTTCGCAGAGCGACGCCGACGCCAATTTGACAAGGCGAAGAGCATCGGGATGGAGATCCCACAGAAGATCCAGGGCATGCTGCTGATGCAAGGAGCTCGTCTCAACGAGCAGGGCAAACAGAACCTCAAGAGCCTGACGAAGGGCTCGATGCTAGGCGAGGACATCCTCTGGGCGCTGCCCAAGCTGGACACCGGAGGAAAGATCTGGAGCGACGGCAAGCAATCATCACTATTGAGTATGGGACCGGAGGAGGCATTGCCAACTCCCGAGGTCCAGCGGGCAGAGACCGGGCCGGTCGAGGAGCCGATCTACGAGTGGTCGTACTGGGCCGACGAGCTGGACTCGGAGGACGAGGCCATGGTTCTCGTCGAGCTCTCCGAGAAGGGCCTCGCGGAGCCAGAGGTGGTCGAGACCTTGGCACAGATCGGCAAGACCAAGAAGACGTGGAAGGAGAACCAGCAGCTGAAGACTGCGCTCAAGCGGGATCGGGGCTTCTGGAAGAAGAAGCGCCGGCTCACCCCAACACAGCTGAAGTTGATCACGAAGTGCGGCAACTGTGGAGAAGTAGGGCACTGGCACAAAGAGTGCAAGAATCCTCATCGTCCCAGAGAGCGAGATGGCAAGGGCAAATCTCGGTCTGGAGGGGCCGAGATCGAGGCCTTCACGTTCACAGCGATCGGCGCGGGCGACGACCAGGACTTCAACATCGACGGCATCACGGTCCTGGGCAGGGAGGTGCTGGCGACCCTCAGGGAGATCGTCAGCTCGGAGACTACGGAGCTCTCGCTGCTGATTCTCGAGGGCGGCCTGATCATCGTGGACAGCGGTGCCTCTCAGGCTATCATAGGCCGCCGGGCTTTGAAGGGGCTCGAGGGAGATCTGCAGCAACGAGGCCTGCGGATCAACTGGATCGAGAAGAGCGTCCAGACACCTCGGGGTATCGGCGGATCGGCCACGCTGGTCGGAGTCGCCGCGGTGCCCATCTCCATCGGTGGCAAGAGCGGGACCATCGAGTTCGTGGTGACGAAGGAGGACCTGCCGCCACTCTTACCAGGCGGGTTTCTCGAGCAGTTCGGCGCAGTGCTGGACTACGAGAAGGAACTTCTCATTTTGAAGAAGTTGGACTGTGAGACTGAGCTCCACCGGATCGGGAAGAACCATCGGGGGATCTACATCAACGACTGGCGCGGGACGGAGAGCAGCTTCTCTCCCAGCTCGCGTGCCTTGCCAGCTGGACTCAGCTCGGACGCCTTCCGAGCCCCGACTGAAAAAGAAGACGTACTCTATTGGAAGGATCCCTCCAGGCCTCAGAAGGAGAGAAACGACCCCACAGGAGCCCCCGCACCTCAGAGAGATCCCGGGAGCCTGCATACCGACGACAGCAGTTCGAAACCAGTGATGCCTTCCTCCAACCACGACTCCCGCCACATCTCCAACCCTGTAGCTGATCTGGCTCAAACATCGAGCCAGGCACAACCACCAAGCTCACCGCGAGATCCGCCTCAAGTCGATGCGGGACCGCCCAGACTTGGACATCTCAGAGAGGGTCAAGATCCAGTGGATCAGGCTGCTGCATGCCGGACTGATGTGGACACAGACCCTCATGGACAAGTTCTTTGCTCTGAACAGGCGCGGGAGACTCTTCCCGGGAAAGGAGCTCCGTCGGAGGATGGTGGAGGACCCCAGGCTGGTGAACGACCTCTACGAGTACCGGGTTCCGATGACGGCTCCCTTGGCGGACGGGTCGGTGCCTTGGACGCTCTGCGTGCACCGCCCCAGGTGGTTCGTGACCTCCCACAACCAGTACGGGAACTGGGAGCAGTGCAACAAGTGCAAGGTGAGGACGTCCTATCGAGAGATCGGGTACCGCGGGGACGGCCACCGACAGATGACGGCATCGGAGATGAGGAAGCTCAAGCAGCAGCTCCCGCGCGACGTCAGGCCCCTGAGCTCGGCAGGCTCGGCGATGCGGGAGGGCGCAGCTCCGGCTCCGAGTCGACGCGTGGCGTCGGCGCCGAACGACGAGAACACCTGGTCGAGCTTCAACCAGGAGCCCCCGCCACCGTGGGCATCAGAGATGGTGCGAGGCCTGTCGGCAGCAGTGGCCGAGGCGATGGCGGCATCCACGGGGCCGATGACAGCAGCGATACGCGAGCAGTCCGTGACGCTCTCGCACATGGTGGCCACGATGCAGCAGATGGCGTCAGAGTCTCCAGCAGCAGGCGGGAGTGCGGACTCCAGCTCGCCGACACCGCCAACCGGTCCGCCACCGACGACCACCGGGGTATTGCCAAACCTCGGGTTCACCATGGTGGAGGAGGTCCCGGCGGACACCGACATGAGGGGCAACTGAGAGAGAGCGGCGTGCTGCGGCTACTTGGCGACAAGTCTCGACAGGAGTGCTGGCTTCGAATCCCTACCTCTCGCAGTTTACACAGAGAGGCCAGCGCTGTTCTGGAGCAGGCCAGGGCCAACGGCCGGTGCTACCGGATCGATCAGGAGGCTTTGGAGAAAAGCGAAGGCCCTCTATCTTCTCCCTCATCCCGTCTCAATCTCCCCTCTGTTCCTGCCTGGCAGTGTGAGTCCGACGACGGGCGATACCGACTCTGGGTCAGCACCTACACATCCACCTATCAGGGTAGACCCAACTCTACCGAAGGCGGGTCTGCGGGTGCGGGGTTCTACTACGTTGTCCCTCTCCAGAGCTACCTGTCTATCACGACGCTACGCGGCTCCGAGCTACATCACGACTCCGACGACACGCTAGCTAATCTAACGGGCCTGGACAACTACACTCACCAGTTCAAGGTTGACCAGAGGAGTAAGCGTCGTCTTCGTCAGAGTCTCCGAGGTCTTGGAAGAGTATCGGGATCCGACTCCTGGGGATGCGAGTTTGTTGAAGTTTTCTCACCTCCTCGCACGGCAAAGGTCTCCTCTCAGCTGGGCTCCAGGGGCTCACCGACTGGTGGCAGCTTAGACTTAACCACGGGCTGGGATTTCCGACGTACGGATCACCGGGAGCTATGAAAGCGGTTGATCAATAAGTGGCGTCCATGGTTGGTATTTCTCAGTCCTCCCTGCACTGAATTCGCCGCCATCAACGCAGTCAACGATGAGCGGCGAGATCCGACCGAGATGGCCCGAGCGCGTGGAGAAGCATTGGACCTGTGGGCGTACGCGATGGAAATAATCGAGCTTCAGATCTCGGGCGGTCGCAAGTTCGCTCTGGAACAACCTACTACTGCGACCTCTTGGGCTCTTCCCAGTACTCAGAGGCTTCTGGAGCTCCCGGGCGTATCCAGGATCACGTTTGACATGTGCAGGTTTGGGCTCTCGGTTAGGCCTGGCACGATTTCCAAGAAGCCAACCACTGTGGTCTCCAACGACTGTGAAGTTTACAGGGCTCTCTTGGGAAAACGGTGTGCCGGGGACCACCGACATTTGGTGCTGGAGGGAGGCGGTCTGCCACGACGCGCGGCATGCTATCCTACTAAGTTCTGCAAGACCATAGCCCACGCGGTTCACCGATCCGCAGAGCTTCAGCAGCTGGGAACCGACGAGAGCTTTCCGAGCGGGGTGCTGGCGACTCGTCGACAGGAACGACCGACCCAGTCTCAGGTGGAGGGCCACGAGCAGGACAACTCTGAGGACGAGGAGGAGGAGGATGAGCAGCAGCAGCAGCAGGACTGCCCGTTGACTCAGGAGCAGATTCGGCAGGTGGAGAAGGCACATATTAATCTTGGTCATCCCACCACGAGAGACCTGCTTCGTATCCTTCGGTGTGCTCACGCTCGGCCAGAGATACTGCGCTACGTTCAGCATCGCTTTGTGTGCCAGTCATGCGAGAGTGCCGGCAAGTCGATTCCTCAGCGAAAGGCAACAGTTGCTCGGACATTCTCATTCAACAAGCTGATTGGAGTAGACCTGTTCTTTGTGACATATCAGCACCGGGAGTACACGTTTCTGAATGCCGTATGCCTGGGGACCTCGCTACAGTGGGTAGGGATTGTGGGACCCGGGAGATGTTCGCAGCCAGCAGCAGTGTGGAAAGCCTTCTCACGGGGGTGGATCCGACATTACGGACCTCCAGAGGTCCTTATATCCGACGGCGGGAAGGAATTCGAGGCTGAGTTTAGCAGACACTTGGAGCAACAAGGGGTGTTCCAGCACACCACCGACGCAGACAGCCCTTGGCAGAACGGGAAGACAGAGCGGGCGGGTCAATGGTTGAAGGAGCGGCTCCAGCGGTTCGTGGACGATACCATCCTGGAGGGACCCGACGACCTAGAGCTGGCGGCCTGTGAATTGGCTGCCTGGCGGAATCGTTTCCTGAATCGGGGCGGGTATTCACCACTACAGCTAGTATTTGGGCAAAACCCCAGGGTACCACAGGAGTTGGTTGCTCAGCGAGGACCCGTTAGACCACATAGGACTTCACGATCTCGAGGAACCGAGCGCCGACCTCGACAGTGCGGCGGCAGCTTTCCGACATCAACACGAGATCCGGTCTCGTGCCCGACAGCTTGCGATGGAAGGAGATGCGCGCAGGAAGTTGCAGCATGCGTTGGGATCAGCGTGGCACAGGGACAGGACCTACCGACCAGGGGATTGGGTATACATCTGGAGGCGAGCGCCCAAGACAGGGCGCAAACCATACGGTTTGCAACGGGATCGGTGGGTTGGGCCAGTTGCAGTGATATTTCATCATGGAACAACAGTGTGGGTGTGTGTGCGCAGTCGTTTGTGGAAATGCAGTTGTGAACAGATACGACCTGCTACGCAGTCAGAGTCCCTCGGGGCCGAGCTTATCCAGACCACGTGCTATCGGGACGTCTTGGACGAGCAGCTTGCTAAGGGGATCTCGGGAGGGGCTCTAGACGTTGCTCAAGAGGGACCACCACCACCAGAGGCCACCATGACTCCCATCAGCTCCGAGGGTAACGCGTCTCCCGTGACCATAGCACCAGCAGGCTCCAACGAGGTTCCAGGCCACCAAGGGGGCTCTCGGGACTCCAACATGGGCTCCAACAACATCGAGGCTCCAGAGGTCCCTACTCCAGCTCCCGACTCCAGCTCCCACCCCACTCCAGCTCCGACTCCGGCTGTCGCAGGTACTGTGGCTCAAGCAGTTGCTGAGCCTCCTGCACCGCCACCGGGACTGCGACCTCCGACCCAGGCTGCCGGCGTGAGACCTAGACCGCGACTCGTCTGGGCTCCCGGTCCAGTGACTCGTCTGATACCTGTGCCAGAGCACGAGGAGTCAGATCCTGCTCCAGCGGACCTTGCAGGAGCTCTCGGACAGGGCGGTGCTGTCTCAGCCGCAGCCGGACCTCAGAGGGAGCCAGCCGCCGAGCCAACACCTCCTGTGTCTCAGACTGGCTCGACACCTGCCGGATCGGAGACAGGCTCACAGGCGGTGGCCACAGCTGGCGGCTCGCGGGCTTCGTCGAGACGACCTTCTCTGTCCGAGGACGACCTGGAGATCAAGCGAGCCAGGCTGGATCCTGACACACTCCGGTCCGCGACCGGATGGGCTCCTACCGACGAACAGCTCAGGGGTTCTGGCCTACCGACACCCATGGAGCTCTTGCCAAGGGCCGAGGGTCGGGTTCGCACCCAAATCCAGGAGTTCGAGAACTGGCGGTCTCAGCAGAGCAGCGCTGCAGCCTCTTCTCAGGCCGGGCCCCTGGAGACGGGGTCGGAGACCCCGATGGACGAGACCGGCTTCAGCGCTCTCGAGGGCTACTGCAAGGTGCTGGACTCTTGGTTCGAGGACTCCGGCTGGAGCGGAGACGCCGAGACCTACATGAACGGCCGGAAGGATCTGATCTTCGAGTGCTCAGAGGACAGCGCCGGGCAGTGGTCTCTGCTCTCCTCACGCGGTGGGGAGGTCAAGCTCAAGGATCTCGGCCCAGGAGCTCGAGGATTTCCGACGATCGGACGAGGCCGAGTGGGGCGTACTCAACAAGCCTAACGTGCTGCGGATCCTCAGCAAGGAGGAGTCCACTCATGTGCTTCGCACCCGGCCAGAGCGGGTGCTATCGTCCAGGATGGTACGACGATGGAAGGCCCAGGAGGGTACGTTTAGTGCCCCAAAGGCCAAGAGCAGATGGTGCGTGCACGGTTTTGCAGATCCTGACACTGAGCATATAGTGACGTATTCTCCGACGCGGGCTGGTACTCTTGGGCCATGGCATGGACCAGAGTATAGTGGACTGCAAGAACGCATTCAGTCAGTCGAGGCGACTCCGCAGGGCTGGTGGACCCATCTACGTGGCTCCCTGTGAGGGGCTCACTGGCATTCACGTTCCCGACGGGTGCCTTATTGAGCTACATGTCGCCGTCTATGGTCTAGACGACGCCCCTTGGGAATGGCACGCCACGATCACCTCCTACCTACGCGACCTTGGCTTCAAGAAGTTGCTGATGGAGCCATGCTACTGGACTCTCCGGGAGCAGGGCGCCCTGAAGGCTCAGGTCCTGATAGAAGTGGACGACCTTTGGCTGGGTACAGTTGCCTCCCACACGAGGTGGTTGGCCGACTCTCTCAAAGCCAGGTTCACCTTCGGCAAGTGGAGAGGCGACGAGGCCGAGTTTGCAGGACGCCGCATCAGGAAGGAGGCTCACCGCATTCGCCTGGACCAGGAGAAGTACATATTGGAGGAGATTCATCCGATTGTCTTGGAGAAGGGCCGCCGCTCCAAGAGACAAGAGCCTCTGAGCCGCTCAGAGTTCGAGCAGCTCCGATCCGGCATCTACCGGATCGACTGGGTGGCGAAGGAGACCCGTCCCGAGGTGGCGGGCACGGCTTCCATACTCGCCAGCAAGCTGGAGCAGGCGGTGGTGGAGGACATCGTTGTTTTCAATCGGGCCGTCCAGATGCTGCGTGACACCGCCTCGCAGTACCTGACCATCTGGCGCCACGACCTATCGCAGGTGGTGAGTTTTACTTTGAGCGACGCGGCGGGGATTGGCACGGACTCACCCATACAGTGTGCCTGGGCTGTGGGAGTGGCTGACCCTCAGCTGGCCGCCGGACTGACCAGCAAGGTGACGATGCTTTCCTGGAGATCCTCCAAGATGCGTCGAGCTGCCAACTCATCCCTGGCCGGTGAGGCCAACTCTCTCTGCCAGTCTCTTGGAGAAGCCGACTGGATCCAGCTGCTACTTCGTGACGCTTGCTTTGGGGACGTTCCTACTGCCGACTGGCGACAGCACGCAGGCCCCTACGCGTCGGTGTTACGTGACAACTGCGAGTTGCAACGACCCTTGCCTGGAGTTCATGCCACGGACGCCAAGTCCATCTTCGACTGTCTCTCCAAGAACTGTGCTGGCCGGAAGGAGGACCGCAGGACTTCCGTGGACCTCGCAATTGCTCGTGACTCTTTCTCCCAGCGGGGCTCGTGCGTGAAGTGGTTTCCTCACCTGCTCAATCCCACTGATGTGATGACCAAGGCTGATGTGTCCAAGGGGTCCGATGCCATGGGTCACATGATTCGCCGTGGGACTTTGACGTTGAGTGATGCTGAGTCGGAGAGGGCTCACCTCTTGGCCGGTGGTGAGAAGGGCCGGCGCAGTCGAGAGGCCAGCCGCCGCTATCTACAGGATCGCGAGCGCCGCCTCGAGGAGTCAGGCCGACAGTAAGTGGGGGGAGCTGTGGAATCATATGGCTCCCTCTCGTCCTGACTATCCGTGCTTTTCTGTGTTTGTGTCTGTTGTATGCTTGCTTGTGCACAGCGCCGTGACTGACGCTTTGGCTCAAGCCATTCTGTGTGCGTTGAGTGCAAAGGCATCCCTTTCAGTACATCTTGCGATGGCCGCCTGAACCCGTCGTGCCCACAGGGGGCCATGCCAAGAAACACCCTGCTCGCCTCCAGGGTGCCCTGGGTTTCTTGGGTTTCGATGGTTTTGCGGTGGAAGGCGTGACGTTCCCGCACCAAAAATCGAGCGACGTCCTGGGGTCTCAGGGTTGGGTTTCTTGTGCAAGGTTTCTTGTGGACGGGCCTCCACTGTAGACGCAGTTTTCGTTTACAAGCTCGCTTGCCAGAACTACCGACATTGCCCAAATCACCGCCACCACATTTGTCACATTTCTATCCGCCGCTTACCACTTGCAGTGGATTGTTGGTGTGCATTGCAATGCTGGTCAATGATGGGTGCGTTTTAAGGCAAATTGCGGCCATTGTGGCAAGGGATGTTTGTGGCATGACATTGTGCGACGTATCCACTACGACTAGTTACGTGTGAGGACGTCCCGCGCGAGAACGCGACTTCTGAACACATTATGAGGAAATATCAGGCGAGAGCCGTTGTTGTCATAAACCTGGGTCCAACAACCCAGTTTCGTGACACTTCATTTTCCCTTTTGTAAAACAGGGTGCGAGCCCAGGGAGAAGCATTTCAATTGAACACATTCAATGGTTAACGGGCAGGGGGATCAACACCAGTTATTCTTTAGAGGTGGGCATTCAGCAGCAACAGCAACAAGGGGCATCTGGAACCATTTTGCTGCTATCTCAGAGGCCTTTGGGCCGTCTTCGGGTGCGAGAGCGCGACATTATGGAGGGCCTCATGGATTCCTGTTCAGCAGTATCGACGGCGTTTCTGGCAGTCTGTGGTCAACCTTGTGCCGTATTTGAGGCGCTTCCGCGCCACTTTGGTCTCTTAGTGCCATCGTGGCCGCCTTGAGGCGCTCTTGTGGATTTGGGTTTTTTTTTAGGTGGCCGGCGGGGTTGGCTGAAACCCCAAAGGAAATTCTTTGGAAGGGTTCAAACAACATCCAGCTCGCCAGGTTCCCCCGTGGCAGACACTAGGGGCGGCGGATCGAAAATCCCTGCGGCGAATCACCGCCGCCCACTGCCTTCCCCAGGACAAATTATACGAAAACGCGCGGGCAGTGCCTAGGAACTCCCCGAACTCTGGGCTGTTGGGCTTGTCAAACGTTTTGCATCAGTCGATACAGAGGACTCGAGGGGACCTCAGGACAACCCACTTCGCGCATCGGGACAGGGCGTCGTTTTTGTGGACCACGAATTTCATTGTGAGATGATGTTAGTAGGGATGTTGTGTTGATGCCTGGGCCACTTCGGCGGGAAAGGCTACAGGGGGACATAGTACTCAAGACACAGGGGGGCGGGACGAAGGAAGAGGACCACGGGGGAAGGAGAGTGAACAAAAGAACGCAGCCGCAAGCAGACAGGCCCGCCGTTGGGTTCGGGGGAGAGGGACCGCCTGCGACGAGGATACGGCCACTACGGCGGCGACTCAGACCAGGCGGCAATACAGGCGGAACGCTGTAGTGGGGTGCCGTTGGAATTGACGGAGAAGTTCGTGGAGGTCGCCAGGGTGGCAGCAGCGGTCGTCGGAGCTACCAGGACTGTCGTGGGGGAAGGGGGCTTTCGTCCACGACGGGCTGCCGCGTTGTGGCCTGCTCGACAGGGGCCATGTCCGGTGATTTGAATGCCTCCCGCCCCGCCGGAAACCGTCCGCCACGGGCCCGCGGGAAAGGGACTTGCCGCGATTTGGTTTCGTTTCATCGTCTCACGGTCGATGTCGACATGCGTTGATTGTTACGAGCTGGGTCACGATGTCAGCGGATTTCGCATGTTGCCTTACAAATCCGACCACCCATTGGGGTGCATGGCCGCCTTTCGGTTCAGAGCAATGGAGGCCCACCGTTTTGCCTGTTCTGTCCGACGGATCGACGGGCCCCAGAATTGTCGACATTTCTCCTTTGCGCCTTTTGTGCGTATTGGATCGTCGGATCGCCGTCTGATGGATCCACGGCCCCTGTTCGCCGACATTCGGGCACTGCGCCAATATCCATAACGATCTACCTGTTTGGAGGTAGCGTTACGTTTTGCTTTCGTTTGAAACAAATGCCCACGGTTTTTTTGATTACCGTTTTTGATTCGGCGTCTTGGCGAACATGTCGTAATCGTTTTCAAGGCCCCAGTATAAAACAAAAAGAAAAGACGCTAAGCAACCATACGCTAGTGTGCGCGTTACCAATTGCGTTTTTTTACCCGTTTTCGGATCGGTTGCTTGCACTGCTGCGAGCGCTGCCATCCACAACTTCCTCGTTTTTTCTCGTGACTGTGCAGTCCTTTTCCTGGTGTGCAGTCTGGCGGGCCCGATGGCCGATTGGCCCTTGTGGGGCCGTCGGGCCTCCGGGCCTGTTTCTGGCCAGTGTTAGACCGGTGTTCGAGCAGTGTCGAAACGTTTGTAGCTCTGAGAGGGATAGCGGCGGCAGCAACGAGCGGGAGCGGAAACAGCAGGGACAACGAAAAACAGCCTTCGACCAGAAAGCAACCAACCGTGAAACAAGTGATGGTCCACAGCGACGGGCCTAAAAAACGCTACAACAAATGACCAAAAACGCTACGGCGCCGTCGCGTGTGTAAACCTTTTTGTGGTTTGCCAAGAGTCGAGAACCCAAAGTGCAAAACGGTAAAAAACAACGCTCCGTGCGTATTGAGAATAATCCGGGTGTTCTGAATAACAAAAATGTGCATGAGCATAGTTGTTCGGAGGGCCGCGCGGATTCTTTTGGGTCGGCGTTATATCCTCTCGCGCGCCGCTCCCACGGGGGTCAGCGCCGACCCAACACGTCCGCGCGGACCCTCGAAAGAGGATGTGTGTTTGCTCCCCCCCCCCCCCCCGTATTTTGCAGTCTCGCAATTGCGTGGGGCCGTTGCGGGGGGCAGCGTCGAAACACAAAACGGCGACAGTGGGTAGACAGTCGCGAGGACCTTGCGATGCCAGCGCGTGTGACATTGCGAAGCGATGCGCGCCATTCGGCTCGGCGAAAGACCCACATTTACAGTGGGTTCGTTCCAGGCGCGTCCACGCGCGGCTCTGTGTGTGTGCGCTCCGTCTCGAGTAGGCGATGTCTCAAATGGCGGGCGTCCAAGGTTGAAGGACGCCGCCGGCGACATGGAGCCTGCCAGTATTTAGCGACCTTCGGTATCGGAAGGCTGCGATCATTCGATCCTCAGCGATCCACGCGGCGTCAAAAGCCACACCGTGGGCAACCGCATGCAGCGCAGGGGGCGACAGGGGGCGCTCCTCTCTTCAGATTGGTATACGCAAAGATCGTCGAGGAACGTGGGCGCGCGTGGGACGGTCGTGCCAGGGAGCTGGAGGAGGAAGAGGAGGAAAACGAGGAGTACGATTCTGGGATTGTGGGTGTTGGGCGCCGCGGGAGTGGCGTGCTCCAAAGTAAAGAGCAACAGGGAAGCGCGGGCATCACGGCCTCCGGGAACGGTCACATCCGGTACATTGCGATTCCGACGAGGTGGCCGTCGCAGTTGGTGTGTTTTGTCTTCAGGTGCCGCCCGCCAAACAGATGCCGGAGGCAAGGCATGTTCGAAAATTACAGATTGAGGTTTTTTGGCGGCTAGTCCCACCAGTTTTTTTCCCCAACCCTCCTTGGTTGGGTATTCGTTTTCAATAGAGCACTGTGGTCGCGTCCCTCCTTCTCCTCCCGCCTCCCGCCTCCTCCTGCCCTCTCTTCGCCGACGGTGGGGGCTGCGATCTGCGAAACTGTCGCCACTTTCGAGGGCTGCTCGTGGGTCCAGCGGGGTGAGGCACCGCGCAGATCTGAGCGAGACCTCGCCGTCCCTGGGTGGCTGCGATCTGCGAAATTGTCGCCACTTTCGAGGACTGCTGGTGGGTCCAGCAGAGTGAGGCACCGCGCAGATCTGAGCGAGACCTCGCCGTCCCTGGGGGGGGGGCTGCGATCTGCGAACCTGTCGCCACTTACGAGGTCTGCTGGTGGATCCAGCGGAGTGAGGCACCGCGCAGATCTGAGCGAGACCTCGCCGTCCCTGGGGGGCTGCGATCTGCGAAATTGTCGCCACTTTCGAGGGCTGCTGGTGGGTTCCAGCGGAGTGAGGCACCGCGCAGATCTGAGCGAGACTTCGCCGTCCCTGGGGGCTGCGATCTGCGAAATTGTCGCCACTTTCGAGGGCTGCTCGTGGGTCCAGCGGGGTGAGGCACCGCGCAGATCTGAGCGAGACCTCGCCGTCCCTGGGTGGCTGCGATCTGCGAAATTGTCCCCACTTTCGAGGACTGCTGGTGGGTCCAGCAGAGTGAGGCACCGCGCAGACCTGAGCGAAACCTCGCCGTCCCTGGGGTGGGGGCTGCGATATGCGAAGCTGTCGCCACTTTCGAGGGCTGCTGGTGGGTTCCAGCGGAGTGAGGCACCGCGCAGATCTGAGCGAGACCTCGCCGTCCTTGGGGGGGGGCTGCAATCTGCGAAATTGTCGCAACTTTCGAGGGCTGCTGGTGGGTCCAGCGGAGTGAGGCACCGCGCAGATCTGAGCGGGACTTTGCCGTCCCTGAGGGGTTGCGATCTGCGAAATTGTCGCCACTTTCGAGGGCTGCTGGTGGGTCCAGCGGAGTGAGGCACGCGCAGATCTGAGCGGGACCTCGCCGTGCTTGGGAGGTTGCGATCTGCGAAATTGTCGCCAGTTCCAAAGGCTGGTGGCGGGCCCCGCGGAGTGAGGCACCGCGCTGATCTGAGCGAGACCTCGCCGTCCCTGGGGGGGCTGCGATCTGCGGAATTGACCACTTTCAAGGGCTGCTGGTGGCTCCTGCGGAGTGAGGCACCGCGCAGATCTGAGCGGGACCTCGCCGTCCCT